TGGGCTGTATACAGAGGTTCTATCAAAATTCGTGAAATCAGGGTCTCTGGCAAACGAAGATATCAGAAAACCAAGTCCTCCAGTTCAATCTAGAAATGCCTTGCAAATAGCTCCATTATGTAGAGAAAACATTTTTGAAGAAAATAAGACGTCTCCAAACTCTTTACAACATTTCTTCGTGAAACAGCATTCAATTTACGAAAGACCCAATACCAGTAGAACTCACGGGGAAACACGAAAGATACCACCTTAGGGCCTTCCATAAATTGACTGCTATTTCCCGAAGAAATGTTGTAGAAAGTGTGGAGACGTCTTATTTTCCTCAAAGATGTTTGCTCTACCAAACCGACGATAGAAGGCGGCTGTAACACGGCTGGAATCATAAATATAACACCATGGTTGTTATCGGGTCCGTGCGGACCCACACCTCAGTTCTTTGTCTGTAAGCCTTATTCACGACACTTCATATGGGTAGTATGCATGGATAGGAGATTGACGATTAGGAAAGAGAGCAGCTCGAAAGAAATGAATACTGCTGAGTAAGAAACCAAAAACTGCACAGTGGGTCCAGGTGGGCCCCCAAACAGCAGTCAAGGGTTAATCACTAGAATATATATCGATAAAATGACTTCAGATGTGTCATCCACAGCTCTTGCACTCGCAAATGATGTTTTTTCCATATCTACAGGATTTCAGATAGCTGAGAACGGGTGGCTGACTGAAGCAGAAAAGGGGTCTAGAAGAAAGACTAGATGTCAGCTACAGTATGGACAGATTGGAAACCCGACAGAGTGAGACATATTTTAGAAACTCTTTAGACACCGTCTGAATCCCTTAAATACGATTAGAACACTGTAGTGCTCTAGTAGTAAACATTTTGATACATTTTATCGGTGGTGAAGCCGACTGAGTGAAACTCGGAGAGTCTTATTCTGTTTCACTACAAAAAATTCTTCTTTCTTTCTTCTTTACGTCGGCTGAGCGAAACTCACTTTTTGCTTTTCACTCCTGGAGTTGCCTATCAAAAATGTTCTTTCTTTCTAGACTCTGTTTTCACGTCCGAGTCAGTCACTCGTTCTCACTTATATCTGTCTCACAAATAATCGATTGAGTCGGGAGCCTGTTCGCGGTAATGTTGTGTCACGGAAATTTGTACGAGAGATGCAACATAGACAAAGGAAATCAGTGTAATCAGAGTCTGATGCCGTTGAGGAGATGCAAAAAGAACTCTGTAGTTCAAAACTAAAACCTATGCGACCATATGAGCCAAACTCCGCCGTAGGAAAATATTTAGCAGCTACAGATCATGCTTTTACGAATAGTGATTTTGACGTTGTTCTACGGGAAAAGCAAAACTATAAATTACTTGTCACCGAGTCACTAGTCATTCGAGCTACTTCTTCTATATTCAACGGAACAGATCGTTCTATACCTTTGTATGTATATGCACATAGACTTCAGTCAATTCTTGGTAGAAAAAGTGAATACAACGAAAGGATATGATACTGTATTACAGTAAATGTTGTATTTATGTGAGGATATAACTTCTCTCCTTCGTTCTTTTCAATTCGAGTTAATAAAATAAAAACTGTCATGCGTTGTTCGTTAAGGAAAAGATAAAAACTGTTGTCTGTATTAATAGGCACCTAGCAAAAATGGAGATATCTCTTCTCGCACATGCATTTGGGGATGACAAAAAAGAGAGCGAAGTAATCGAAAATATCTCACGAACTGAGTGAATATTGATTCGAATTATTCTTTTAACACTTTTTAATCATACAGTGAAGAAATTGATAAAAGAAGCTGTAAATATAGTTCTGGTCTGACTAGTTTTCGATTTAGATGAGTCTTGGACTGCGGGTTACTGTCCATACTGGTCCATCAGTTTAAGACAATTGATTATCACAGAAAATCTGATGAGAAGACAATCTGAAATAATCTGAATTCGATCTGCATTGTTTAGTTATCATCAGTCATTCTTAACTTTTACAGAAGAGATACAACATTGCACTGCAGAATACTGAAATTAGGATTATTCAGAAGGTATATGTATCAGAATACATAAATATGCCTGTTCTTTTTTTTGTCATCCAATCGTTAAACACATTACAAAATATTAATTAATTAATTGCTAAATGCGATACATGTGCAAACAAACTCCTTGAAGAAAATGATGATGATTAGCTACCAGACTTGTTTCTTTTGTTCTTTCTCCTTATTCGTTCTCCGTTTGTCAGAATTAATTTACCTATAAATGTGGCTGATCTTATTCAGGCTATTGTTTTAGTAGCCTTAGACTACTGTGATACATATTTTTCTACCGGATTGAGAGTACAAACTTGATTTTTATTTTATGCTACCAAAACATATTTTTGTTTGTGACTAAAGATATCTGTGAAATAAGGAAGATGGATAGATATGCCTGGATACGACACAGACAAAAAACACAAGGATATCAATGTGCTTAGATACGAGAAAAACAATGAACAGGCGTATATTTACGTTCACAGAAAAGAAAACAGGGGAGCGACCGTCTTCTTTTTTCTTCCTTGTTCTTTTACGTCACATATATTGCAATGTTTGCACACGCATATCTTGTGCTAGAAGAAATATTTCCATTTTTGCCAGATGCCTAATATTTTTGTTCTTTTCCATGTCTTGCCTGGTTTCGCCTTATGCAATATATGTCTTGTTGAAAACATAAGAAAGAAAAAAGAAAAGAGAGAATTATTTAATGTGCGTATGCACACACATGTATGTAGCGTAATTGCACGACCATTTTTATTCTTTCCTTTGACTTTGTCGGAAAAAACCAAGCAAAAAAACAGAATGTGTATGTGGTGCATGTGAGAGAGCAAAACGACCCAAAAAACACAGTGTGTTACTATTATGAATAATATTTCGCACACTAATTAATCGGCGTCACTAAACAGTTCGAATTAATATTCACTCAGTTCGTGAGATATTTTCGATATTTACTTCGCTCTCTTTTTTGTCATCCCCAAATGTCATCTTTAAATGAATCAAAAACAGCCTCCGCGTCGTTTAACTTGGTTGATAAACTAAGTGGTGCACTTTGGGGCTTTTTTATTGCTGATTCGTTATCAATGCCCGCCGACTGGTTTTATAATCCTGATAATATAATCAAAGTATTTGGTCCAAATGGAATTACTGGTTATATTGACTGTCCTCCGACTCATGTAGAAGCGTTTATGGCTGGTAGTCAGTATAATCCAGCAGAGATATCCACTCCAAATTATCGTCCAGCTGATATCCTCCACCAACATTCAAAGTATTACAATATACATAATTCTGAATACGATGGTCGATCATTTAAACAAAGCAACGTTGCTGAAAATGACAGTCATGGCAATGCCTTTGCAACAGCTAGCGATAGTCGACCTCATTACCACGTCGGATTAAAAGCAGGTGAAAATACTTTGCAGGGCGAAATCATTCGATTATTTCTAAAGACTTCCGTCGAAAATAATGGTTATAATCAAAATCAATGGTTAAAATCGTTTACTAATTACATGCTATCAGCACGTGAAGATTGTGTTGATCCCTATATTGAAATTGCAATTAGGAAATACTTCGAAAATTATAGTCGAGGTTTACCACTGTATTCATGTGCGGTCAGACAAAGAGACACATGGTCGACGGGAAATTGTTGTGCGATGGCCTCAACTATAATTACTTCTCTATTATATCCACATTTTCTACAACGTGGTATTGCACGAGTTTTTGAGCATCAGGCTCTATTATACCGTTCCGAACAGGCGATGGTTTATGGAACTGTTCTAATACCACTCATTCATCGATTTATTCACTCAGAATCACCTTCATTACAATATTATTTTGATTCTCTACTAACTGTATGTGAATCTATCTATTCAGCAAAGCTCAGTGGACCAGAATTATCTGCCAAATATCGTGAATATAAAGGACCGGATAATATTCCGAAAGATGAAACTTGGCAGTTACACAATCAGTTAAGGGAAGAAGCGATTCGAAAAGAAATTGAAACTTTTTTGAATTCGAAAGATTCTATCAGAGATGTAGAAGTGTTACCTGGACGCTATGATACAGCCTGTTATATTGAACAGGGTATTCCAGGAATTATTTATTTAGCATTGAAATATAATTTTAATTTAGAAGCGGCACTGTTAGCTAATGCAAATGTTGGCGGGGATACGACTGGGAGAGGTGCAATTTTAGGCTTGATCATTGGGAGTGCGATTGGAAAATCAAATATTCCAGAACATCTGATTAGAGGACTGAAGAACTGTGAAAGGTTGAATCGTGAGATAAGTGAATTTGTGGAATTAGCAGTTAAAGGAGGGTTGAAGGACTAAATTATCCACATTGTTTGAACGCGTTCTAACTTAATTAAGTAGTAATATTGCACGTGTGCACGTGAATTATCTAAATAAATGTGAAAATACAGCAATGCTACTAGCTGCCAAGCCTAGGTGCTCCTGAATATGTTTAAACTACGAAGAGCGCATTTCGGCATTTAGAAAGAAGAAACTTCCACGCACAACTTCTTAGCTTTTTATGCTTTTCTCTGTCTTTGCACCTCTCAAATTAAACGTGACGTAGTAGATTTACGTTAGGAGACATCTGATTAATACGTTGATGTAGCGTATACTCGACTAGTATACTCGACCCATTGACTCGCATCAGTTTCGAGAACAGAGCAAATTCTTCTGTTATATGCATAGACACGTTTATAAAGAGTCACTGCATATTTGTATCTTCATCTTTCCAGTAACAAACTGTCTCTATTGATAGAATGCAGAAGCCCTGCATCATATAATGCGGGTCTTTTTCGCGAAAAGGATCAATGACATCTGAGGATCATGGGATTGAATTCTAAAGATTGTTCCCATTCTAAATAAACTCATATTCCTTATTTCTCTAACGAAAATTTTTAGGGATAAAAATTCGTTTATAAGAACTAGCATTATTCTTTTCTAACTTAGCAGTGACCTGAATTAATGTTTACGTTCGCCGCTAATCTAGATGACAGTGTACCCAGTTTTGCCCCGCTAAGTGGTTTAATATTATCATTGATATTAATTGTAATAGTTATTTGTTCAATTGATTGTGTTCGTCGAAGTGGTCATTTTGAAATCTTTACCCGTCTATTATACATACCATTTTTAATATTTTTAATTTTACATGGTAATGGTTTCTGCAAATGGTTTTGTGTTTCAGATACAATATTTATAATTGAAAAATTTTATTCATTTATACAATTTTGTCTTTCATCACACGGTAATACGAAAATGAAATGTGTTACAAGTTTTGAATGTCAATCGAAAGTGGGTACAAAAGTTGAAAAAACAAGTGTCATTGCATGAACAATTCAAGTACCAATTAATTTTGATTATAGACCACGTGATTACCTATTTCTCATATTTCAAAACTTGCAAAATCCGAATGGTATCCATACACAATCTCAAGTGAACCAGAGGAGAAAAGAACATTAACTTACATATACGGGTCAAAGGCAACTGGATTAGTAAATTATTAGAATACCTTAAAAATAACAACCCTGACAAAACTCAACTCTCTACTTCTTTAAACCAAATAACAGTAGAATCAAGTATCACCACTACATCCGTTCATCAACAACAACAAGTTCAACCCGGATTATCGACAAGACAATCGTTTCCGATTGATGATGGCTTGCGAGTAGTAGGTCCTTATAGTTCGTGTCCAAGATACATATTTGATATGGAACATGTTGTTCTTATCGCATCTGCAATCGGTAAGCAGAAAATCTTTGTCACATGCTTGACCTAAGGGAAGCCGTCAAAGCTATGAGCGAATCAATCGGATCAAACGAATCATTCAGATCATTTGTAGAATAATGTGAAGCGCTCCTCTATGATCTTTGTATACGAGAGAAAATATATAAAATCTATCTTTTCTTACCTATTTTATTCATTTTTTTCCAATAGATTACTTCGAGCGCTTAATTTCACTAAGATTAATTTCATGGCTAACACATAACAACTCATCCATTTGAAACACACCTCTTACGACGTTAGTAGATTTTGAAAAGGTACAAAAAGTTCCTTAATAGCTGTCATCTTCGAAAAATATTAGCTATTTCACTGTTCAATAAACTTGTTAAAACAGAAAACACATACGTGTTTTTATAATTGCAAAATCAATCATGTGGGATAGTGCATGTATGAATGCTAGAACAAGTATATATCTTCCAATCCAGCGATGGAAATCAATATGGTAACCAACTGGTAATACATAACGTAAATATGAACTTCTAACTAATGTTATTGTTCGTTTTAACATTAAAATAATCATCAATATAGCATTGAATGATAATAATATTGCAGATATTTTAGCTGTTACAATTGATGGATTCATATTTTGTTGGTGTACAACATAAATCATCGTATATGGACGAACAATAATCCATATCAGTATACCTATTTGAATAAGAACATAAACTAACAAACAAATAATATGTTTTGAATGATTAATTATAAAATGTTATTTCCAGTTTCTTGTTTTATCATCTATCGAACTTCGTGTATCATTTGTAAAATAAATTTTAAAGAAATCGTCTATTTTGCCATTCGTTATCAGATCGAGCTTTAGAATATTTTGAACGAGCTTTTGATGTAATGAAACAATTTCCTAATACATACAATAGAGAAACTGCTGACACTTTGACTAACATTGGCAGTGTATGCTAGAAATTTGATATCGCTTTAGATTATCTTACACAAGCACTCGACATCAGAGAGAAAACATTACCTGAAAAACACCTAGCTACCGGCAAGACATTACGAAATATTGCAAATTTGTACGAAAATTCACGATGGTACGATAAATCTTTGATGCAATATCTACAAGCATAGATAACGCAGAAATACACAAAAAAGCAGAAGATTATTTACTAAGAGCGCTGAAAATAATTGAAAAAACTGCCAGTTACTCATATTCATACAACGGCTAAAACATTGGCTATTGTCTGTTACGTCTACAAACGGAAATTCAAATATGACGCTGTGTTACAATATAGCTTTAAAGAACCTGCTGCAAGAAGTAAATTTTCACCAGATGATCACGCATCAATATCAAAGACATTAACCCTTTGGTTACGGGTGACCTATATATAGGCATTGAACTTTTGTAGGTATTGTCTTCAATATAATGTCATTTAGACTTTATATTAGCTCGTGAGCTGATGGGTGAGGGGAGCTCAATTATATGCTATTTTGTGAAAGACTCTCATTCTTTTATCTTACACTTTCGGAGAGCACATACCACGGATCAAAGAAGCACATGAAATACTCTCTTATGCCACTAATCGTTTCGTCTTTTATCTCTATTTAGTATCTTCCAATGAATTAATTGATTTAATTACATAAACAACATTTTTACCGGTTCTCGTTTTCTGTTGTTATTTTTACAAATAAAAAGTCATTATTTTCTGTTTTCTTTCGCAGAGTAGGCGTGCTGTTTTCGTTAATTCTTTTTTAATGTAGAGACAATAAATGTGTTATTAAAATACAAATAATGAAAAGCAAGGACTGTGGTGGTTTCTCTCTGTCGATATCACGACAATTGCAAAGATTCTTTGGAGTTATTTAAAAAGTCTCTAGAAATTCCTTCTCGAATTTTCAGTTTTCATGTGAATTATTAATGGAAATTCCTCTTCGAATTTCTATAAATAATTCCCCGAATTTCTAGATTCTTGGGAATTAGTATAGAAATTCGACAACGAATTTCCAAGAAACTGGAAATTCGAGGAGGAATTTCTATAAACTGGAAATTTCTATTTTCTATAAACTAGAAAATGCTCGAGGAATTTATATATGGATTCTTTGAAATTCGCCGAGCATTTTCTATAAATAATTTTCTCCTTTACAGTGTAGCCATGAGGTCACCTTTAGAACCTTTGTTGCGGACGTCTATGTGAACTACGTTGAATCAAAATTAATCTTTAGACTGCGAATAAATGGCGTATTGTATTGGAAGCGTTTTATCTATGATATGTTTACTCTTCTTAGAAAAGACGCCTATGCGTAAACAAAATCCTTGATATTCTGAATAGTTTTGATACTGATATACAATTTACCCTTGAAGAAGACGTTAATGATTTAATTTCGTTTCTTGATATAAAAATTACTCTTACACTTCATTTAACAATATCTTTTTCTACCATAATTAACAGAAAAATCATGTATACAGAACTCTTGACAAAATCGGACCCTTTCGCCCAACGCTCATACAAAGTGAGTGCCATTAGCTCAATGGTCTACCGAGCGATAAAAATATGTTCATCTTCTGATCTCATGCACAGAGTTTTAAGTTTAATCCAGCTTTCGAATTCTGACCTTACTACATACAAATGATGTTGTTGAAAGTGACACAGAACTGTTCAACTAAAATAAAATTGGGATTATTTACCGTATTCATAGAGTATTATTGCTTCGTTGACAGAAAGTGCAGTAGTTTACTTTGATTTATTCTCTTGTGATTAGTGCGATTGCTGCACTGATGGGTTTAAAACTGTTCTTTGAAAGTTAAAAATTGAGAAAATTTCTAAAAAGGTTGATACAATTGAAGTCCTAGTTATAACTATGAACTTGGATTGATCGATGTAACTGGGGCTGAATGAGTTACAACTGCTAATGGGTAAAGTGATAACCATTTCAGCTCCAGTTATAACTGTGTCAGTTTTAGTAATGACTACTAACCTAAAATAAAATTATGAAAACGCATTTCAATTTGTACTATGTCACCGTTATAACTAAAGTTGAAATAGTTATAACTCTCTCAACTGCAATTATATCAATCAACGCGAGTTAATAGCTATAACTGTGGTTCATAATTATAACTATTGTAAACTTCTGACTAAAATTTAAATTAGTTATAACTCAGGTAGTTTTAAACCCATCAGTGGACTGCTATGAGTTGTCTTTGACCGTAGTTGAATATTAATTAGAAGTCTTTCACACATATCTGACGACATATAATGTCACTTTTTCCAATTTAACTGTTTACTTCGATAGTGGTCCGGGAAATCACCTGAACGATAAAGTGGCCGTTCGGTATCGTCCACCAATGACAAAGCACACAATATTTTTTATCGAGCAGAAAAGAAAAAAATGATACTCTTTTTTAAAAAATTCTTGACTTCTTCTCTCGTTTCTATAATAATGCAGGATGATTCATTAACATCGGTACTGTACGGTAAGTATTTAACATGAAGACATAAACAAAAACTTACAGATGCATATAGACAGTACACAGACATCCACACATAGCCACTAACAGCTACTCAGACAATAGAGACATCTACAGACAACCAAAAATAACTACACAGTTGTTTATGTTTTATTATTACCCTAATAAATACTTACCGTA